CGGCACACTAGTGTGCCGCGGAACAGTGGTTGAAAAACACTGCTATAGATGGCATGGAAAATAAGAGCCTTTTTGCCCTCCTGCGTTGTGAGCATGCGCGAAATTACCGGATATTGACCCTTTGCATCATTCGAGACGCTGTAACAGACGTCTGAAGTGAAGGACGGGAGGATTGAACAGAGCAGCTGAAATGGTTTTCCAGTTTATTCGTGGCTTCTACTTGTTCGAGTGAAGCTAATTTGTCTGTGAATGTAACATACCTATTTGGGGCTCACAGACGGCGGTATTTACAATAGTTGGAAATAGCTAGCTTAGAAACAGACCCATAGCTTCTCCCTCCTGATGTGTTGATTAAATCGCCGACATCGCCTAAAATCATGCCGCATGATTTATGTCACTGTCATAAACGGCGTTTTCTCTTACAAGACAAGATTTTATTTTGAGTTATCAGAGTAGATGTACATCCCACATGTTAGATCTTTCTATCATTGTTCTTCTACTTTTTGTTTATCAGATGAATTCTAATCGAATAAATGTTGTTTTGTGGTTGTAGTTCAGTTTTGCTTAGGACTTGCAAGATACAGTTATGTTCGCAATCACTTTTTTTCACCAAGCAAGTAATAAACTTCAAAACTAAAGAACAGCTTTTTGATTGTGCTTTTTGATTGTGCTTCGTCAGCATCAGAGGCTGAGAAGAAGCTGGATTAAGATCAAGGATTCTAGAGGTTTCAGATGTACCACGGGGGAGCATAGGTGGGCGTGCAGACAGGTGTGGAGGATTTTGTCCAGAAAGAAGGAACTGCCAAACAATGGGTAAGGTTCCAGGTAACTAGCCTCTGTGCCAAGCATGTAGTTGACTTAGCACAGAGGATTTCTTTCTGCAGGAGTTCAAGGAGGAACTTGAAGCAGTTTACCTGGGAAAAACAAAGTAGAACATGATGAAATGCAGCACACAAGGGAAACTGGCTTGAAACTGCTACTGCAGGGGAAGGGAGACTGTCTGGTAGCCAACATGATGAGCTTAGGTTCTGCCAGTTGCTACCTGTTGGCGGTACCTCACTAGAAAAGGTGCAAGATGTATTTACATACTCTACATGTAAAGTCACAAAGCTTTTTTTTTACTCACTGACAAAAATTAAATCAGAGTAAACACTTCCTGTTAGAGGTCAGTTAGGATTAATGCAGTTATTCTTGTTATCCAGTTGTCCAATTAGTTTCCTCAATTTTCTCATGATACTTTGCTTGGAAATTAATTTATTCCACCTGGCTGAACTAGTTCAAGTGAGTTTGCAGGCTGCCTTTTTTCAGTTCTAGGTTTTCTGCGGCACAAAGACCATGCTTTTTGATGACCACTATAAGACACTACGTTTGTTCTTCTTAAGGCACTTTTTAACAAATCTGGCTGCAAGCTTGGAGTTGTCCGTTTGTGCTCAGTCTTTAACTTCCTGGCCAAGACTTAAAGTGTTGCAATATTCCCACATGCTGTTCTTTCATTTTGATGCCATCTATTTTATGAAGTGCACCAGTCCCTCCTGCTGCAAAGCACCCACACAGCATGATGTTGGAATGGTGTTCTCAACTGAGCAAGCTTCATCTGTTCTTCCTCGAAATACTTGAATTTTAGTTTCATCAGACAAGACATGTCTTCAAAAATTTTGAATTTTGTCTCTGAGTGCATTTCCAAACGGCAATGTGTTTTTTGTAATGTGATTTGCACATATGAATTCTTCGCTGAGTGGCCTTTCAACCCATTCTTGTATAGGATTGTACCCAAGGATGAACCAGACATCTGAAGATTCACACTTTTCTTTTTCTTTTGATTGTCCCATTAAATTATTATTATTATTATTATTTCAGGTAAATACAGAAGTTATTTTCTGGATTATAGTGTCACAGTTTGCTGTTCAGTGTTGATTTTATTTGAATAATTTCACAAATCAGAACACTACTTCTCCTAGCAGCGTACCTGCACATAGTTAGCTGTCATTCTTAAGAACTTGCCTTCTGATAATGTTGTGAGCTTTGACATTGGTCTGGTTGAAAAGCACAGTGAGTACTTGCCAGCCACTTTGGGTGGCCATACTTTTTATGCAGGGCACTTCCTTAAAGCTTCTAATGACGAGTGACCCTTACGTGAACAAATTCTTAGAGACTAGGTCAGGCTTTTAGATGCAGGGGAGTTCCTACTGCATCCGTCTATCACGCCTGGAAACCGAGCAGTCAACTTGTGTATGAACAAACTCTGTAGCCTTCCATTTTAAGCCCAAAGGGAAGTTATTATTTCCCAACAGCATGGGTTTTTAGGACTTTATGATGGGTGAATCATTCATCATTACCGACTGACGAGAATGTTTTTGCAGAACTCTGTTTAAATTGAGCGTTTGTGTAGAGTGACTTCAGGAGAAGACAAAGAGTCCTGAGTTGGTATGCTGGGAGCAAAACCTGAGGAGCAACCACTCTGACAAAGAAAACCAGACTGTTGACAACAATCCATAAATCAAACAAAGCAGGTGCTTCTTTGAAGATTAGGGGTGACTTCCCACCAGACTTACACCAACAATCACCTCAAATTAAAAAAAAAAAGAAAGCTACATATGGACATTCTTCCAGTATTATTTATTGTTTCTGCAATTTCATGTTTCATAAAAACCTGCCTTGTGTTGACAAAGTGGTCTAGAAAAGTAAACAAAAAAAAATCTAATTGCATTTATTAGATGAAATGCGTCGATTTCAGTAGGTGTTTAGTAAGCATAAATTAATTTTGTTGGTAGTGAGCTTACAGCAAGAAAGCAACATGTGTAATTTAACTGAGCAAATGTAAATCCAACTTTAACCCAAACATATTCATGATGCAGGCTTGGTATTGGTTTGATTACAGCATAGTTCCTTGTCATACTGTAATAGAAATAAATGGAGCTCATAATGCAAAACAGTCTTAACAGGTCATGGGATCATTTGGAAGAAGATATAGAAAAAATTCAGACTCATCTAAAAATAAAAGTCTATCAATAGTTTTTATGATCCAAGAGAAAAATGGCATTCATCCATTTTTTTATACCTGCAAACTGGTATCTATGGAGCTCAGTGAGTGAGTGATTTTGGGGGGTTGCAGGTTGCAACACAGGACCAACACACAGTAACTCCTACTGGATAACATGCACATGGTATGCAGAAAGGCTCAGATTCAAACCTAGGATCTTTTTGCTGCAAGGCAACAGCTATGAACTTTCCAGTCAGTTTAATTCAATTCAGTCTTTGCTGAATATTTACAGCATTGAAAGAGATAAAAATCAAGCAGTAGGAATTATTTAAATGTCTTATTTTCATTGCTATGAGAAAATAACAAAAACAGACATGGAAAGTGCAGAATGTTCCAACTACATACAGTCCAATGTGATCCTAATATTTAAACAATACGGTCAAAATTACTGGATCATTAAATGTCAATTGGTAAAGGGCTAAGATAACCTGTTTCATTGCATTAAGTGTTTGGCTTTGCAGCAGTCCCTTCTACTGAGGAAGCCTGTGGAGACAGTGAAGAGGAACAACTCCCTCCTAACTATAGGAAACTTCCAGGAGAAACACACTCAGTAAGGATAGCCACCTGCTGCTACCAGCTGGGCCCAGGAGGGAGGAGCAGACACATAAAACACTGAAGGACCGATCGAACAGAGCTGATTCATTTCCATGGTTGTATTTTGTAAGCAGAGAAGGACAGAACAGCTCCCCCTGATAAAATAGGACTTAAACTGGACATCCTATATATCTAAATTAAGAAACTGAGGAAAACACTTCTCTAAGTATGAAACTTTGCAGACACAAGGTGCATTTAGTTTTAAAATGATTGATACTAAAGGCAAGAAGGGCAAAGAGGGTTTCTCACTGAAACCCAAAAAGCCACATTGTGGCCACTGTATGCTAACTTATTTTAAAAGACCCAGTTACTAGAACTCAAATCCCCTTCCGTTAAGGCTTGAATGCATTTTAAACAATTGTAATGTACTTATTGGACAACAGATGACACACTCAGATGAAAAAATGCTGTTTTTATTAAGTGTGATCCTTATTTTACACAATACTCGTGAAGTTTGGTTATATTTCAGCATTTGTAACAGGTCCCAGATTGTTCCGCACACTCTGTTCCACATTTGATTGGCTGAGAGCTGGTCTGCCTCTCCCAACCTGAGCCCCCTTAATCTTATGCTTTTTATTTTGTAAAATACATGTTGGCATTAATTATTTAATGGCCCTTTCTGTGTTGTAGCCGTCATAAAGAAGATGCCTCTGAACTTTTGTCTCCACGTTCTGTCTGCCTCCTTGCGTCCTGCTCTCCCTGCGCTGTGAGAGCTGGACTCGTTACCAAATGGCTTTTATCCAAGTAGAGGCGCCTGAGAGCGCACAGCCTGCTGGGTGGGAGCGCAGTCGCAGGTTATCCATCGCCTTGTGCAAGTTGTGTACCGTCACTCCGCTGCCTCTGGGATCTTCCTTTATATAGACGTGAGACTTAACAAACCCATCTCATTCAGCTGCGGGTGCAGATTGTTTTCCTTTTTATTCTTTTGTGCCCTCTCTCCACTCTGCACCCCCTTGATTGGGCTTTATTCATCCTGCGTGTTTGTAAAGGCGATTGTTAGTGCGCATCATTGCGGGAGCCAAAAGGTTTGCCACTGTTCCATAGGAGATTGGTGAGTATTTCTTCTTTCGCTGCATGTTTTAATATTTTAACACCTCCAGGATACAAAGAATGGAGATACTGCAATGTTTTTAGCTGGTTTTACACACTTTATTCCGTTTTTTGTGACTAAAAAAGTGCCATAAAAGCAAGAGGGTTAGTACATTGTTGTTTCCTGTTATTTTTCTTTGACATATATAAGATTTTAACATTTCTATTATGTGTGATTCTGCAGTCAGAGTTTTATATGCTCTTAAGTTTGTGCATTCTGATAAATAGACTGCTATGACTTTGTTCAAACTTTCACCAGAATGTCTCTGCGTCATATTTGCAGTTTTGCTCCATACAGACTTTCGAGGAATTTCCCATGTTATGATTCAGAATCCTGTTAACATTCTTACATCACCTTTGTTCAGTCCTTGTCGGTTTTACTTCTCAGCGGGCTGCCCGAGCGTCATGACAGCTGAGAAGAGCGGGCCTGTTATAAACGGTAAACCAGAGGATGGCAGAGACCCGGACGGGTCCAGTTCCAGCCTCGACAATGACGAGTACAACGAGAGGGGCATGTGGAACAACAAGATCGAGTTCATCCTGTCTGTGGCTGGAGAGATCATTGGGTTGGGCAATGTTTGGAGGTTCCCTTACCTCTGCTACAAGAACGGAGGAGGCAAGCGATAAAAGCTTAGCTTTATCTCTGTGGCTGTAGGATGAACATGGCTTTTGAGTCTCCAAAGTGGTGAAACTGTGAGATACAGTGAGAAACCTTACAACAGTATTCATGCCTCTTCCAACCTTAAACTTTAATGTGTTTTATATGGACTTTAAATGACAGACCAACAGAAAGTTGAGCACAAGAAGTGGTTTGAAAAAGTTTTTCAAATATTTTAAAATTCAAAAAGTGTGCGTGTGCATGTCCTTATATTTAGCTCGCCTGAGTTGATTTAAAACTCTGTTTTTCGCTGCAGTTACATTAAGTCTGCGGAGTATGTCTCTCACAACTCGTATAAAGAGTGAGATTTTAACCCAACAGTATGATGCTGCCACCAGGACGATAGTTGGCTGTCTGAAAAAAGCATTTTCTTCTATATGTTTACCGAGTGTCATGTTGCAAATGCCAATCCGGACATTTAATGGATTGTCCCTTTCGTAAATGGTAGATTGATGAAGAGTACTACTAATATCTAGCCTGGCTATAGCCTTTCTGTGTAACTCGGCTCAATTGTCATCTCCATCTGGATTTTCTCCCTTTGAACTTTATGTCTCTGGTATATTTTCTACCACGCCAATCAGCGAACAGAATGAGAAGTTGTAGGAACAATGCCATCGATTTTCTGCGCAGTTTTAGAATTATAGTCTGCCTGTAGATTTAGGAATAACACAAGTGGAAGTGAACAAAGCTGTTCAGTGTGTGTTGGTCACGCTTACAAATATTGAATTAACATTAACAGCCGCCATGTTCAGAGCAACTCTTCTCTCTTCGCATTGGGGGATTGTTGTTTACAGCGCAGGCAATTTCCAGCAGACTTCTTAGCTTTGAATTGGTTCATTACATACATCACTGGCAAAAGGTAAAATTAAAACTTAGAGTGCATGCCTTCAGCAAACAGCTGTTTGCTGAAGGCATGCAGCTGAGGGTCCAGACCCTTTGTATGAAGCAAAGCGTAGAACAGAAGCCATGAAAAGCCACGTCTTGTATTTCCTTCACTTCACAGTTATGTCACGTGTTGCTCTTCATAAAGTCCTAATAAAACACATTCAAGTTTTTGGTTGATACTTTGTACGTTAAGTGTCACTGCTTGAAAAAGATGCCTGACTACTTTTGTAAGGCACTGCAGTTATTTTGCACACATATCAATAAAAGAGGCAGGTTGCCTCATTAGACTGAACAGCAGGGTGCAACTTCATGTCTGAAAAGGTCACCATGCATTCCAAGCTTGGCATCGTAATGAGTACTTTCATCTCTTTATTTGAATAGGAATAGATCTCTGCATTAAACCCTTCACATAATTCAGTACAGGATTTGAGAATTAACCTTTAGACTTATGTTGTATAATATTTTTGCATCTCCTGAAATCGTAAGGTACATTTATTTGTGTGCGTGAAGGTGCCTTCTTTGTGCCATACGTCATCTTCTTCGTGTGCTGCGGTATTCCTGTATTTTTCCTGGAGACGGCCTTGGGTCAGTTCACAAGCGAAGGTGGCATCACATGCTGGAGGAAAGTTTGCCCGTTGTTTGAGGGTAAGAAAACCCTGGATTTATCTGTTTACACTGAATTTTAATTAGCAAAGATAAAGTAGGAGAGAGAGAAAGTGTTTCACCAAGCTTCTTGATTTACTTTTGATTTTCCAGGTATCGGCTATGCAACACAGGTGATTGAAGCCCATCTCAATGTGTACTACATAGTAATCCTAGCCTGGGCCATTTTCTACCTCTTTAACTGTTTCACGACAGAGCTGCCGTGGGCTGCCTGTGGCCATTACTGGAACACAGGTAGGTGGTTAGGGGAAAACATTGTCTTATAATGACAAACAAATCTCTTCTAATTTAAAACAGAAAATACCATTGTGTTAAATTCTGCTGTGCATGTACACTTGATGCCATTGAAATGAAAACATGTCGCTGTGTTTGCAGAAAACTGTGTTGATTACTATGGGGAAAACGCCACCAACATCACCAACCCCAATGCAACGTCTCCAGTCATTGAGTTTTGGGAGTGAGTAGACTTTATTTTTCATTTCCCCCCCGCTTATATGTACAGAACTACATCACAGCATGGATTATACCACTGAGATTTTCACCATTTGTTGAACCAAATGCTTCTATCTGGATGAGAAATGCTCACTAGGTCATGTTTTTCTCTGATCTGCCATATTGTTAAAAAAACTGAGATTCTGACAGCTCCAAGCTGTGTCATTGACCCCCTCCCTTCCTAACCTCACAACTAATAATTAGTCAGCCTTTTTCATATTTCTGTGCCAGCAGGCTATGGTGGGCCAGCTGTCTCCCTGTTAGAGCCATGAGTGTGGCAGCAGATCATGGTTTGTTAGTGCATAGATTTGACCACACTTCCTGTACCACTGCTAGAAGCTTTGTACACATGACTAGGTTAATTTGACGCCAAGGCACAAAACCCTTTAAAAATCAATATGTAAAAAACATATTTGGATGATTGTCACTCAAACAAAAGAAAACTGAGTCTACTTAAAGCTACTAAATGAAAACATTTAGTAGCTTTAAGTTAATCCTAGAAATAAGAGGCCACAGAGTAAACCGTCATGTTGGTAGAAGTTATCAAATTTTATTAAACTTGTTCCAAGATGGACTAGCATTTTGTTTATTAGCATAAATGTTTTCAGTTTAGTTTTAGCACATTATTGTTGTATTTATGCAGCCTCTGTGCTCATAAATACAAAATTATTTGTTAGATTTCTAAGTATATCAATGGAATTTCTTAGGTTAAGAAAGCAGTGTTTATACGTTTACTTAGATTTTCTTTCTATCTTGTTGAACTTCTACATCAACCAGCTATTATCATTGAGATAAAAAACCATAAAGTCATTAATATACATCCAAGCACCCGCTTTAGCAAATTTACACAAATCTTATCCTGTTGGCTGACCAAAACAGAGGGTTGGGGCTCAGGGTGTTGGATCAGTTTTATGGGTTTCCACCAAGAACATGTCAGGATGATCAATGGCTGGTCAGAAGCCCTGAGGGTGAACTTGGTGGCACAGATTTTGGCAGGGACGTGTGGCTTTGTGGCACAGACTCCTGCTTCTCATCCTCCATCAGTGCAGTTGCTGGGTTGAGCTTCAGCAAACAGGAAACACACTCTTGACTCACCACTGCAAACAACATGTCGCTGGAGATGGCATGCTCATTTTTTTTTTGCACCCACATCATTTGGCATATTTCGACACAAATTTAGTTTTTTTTCTCTGTAGCTTATCAAGTTTGGTTCATATTCGTTAGTGACCCCCAGCAGGCTGGATGTTGATAGGAAAAGCATAAAGTGTCACCCCATGACTAATGCCATGAAGAAGTATCAGTGAAAGACTCATGGACTCATAGCCTTGTCCATAGCAGCTCTCTGGCTAGAGAGCTGCTGTAAACAGTTATTATGTTTTCTCTTTTTTAATTATTTTTCCCATTCTCTACTGAAGGCGTGGAAGGTGCTGGCTTCTTGATATACGACATTACGCTTAGTTCATGCCCTGCATCAACAAAGATTTGTGCTGCCCTTTAGTCATTTAATTAGCTGACGTTTACCTGAGACCACTGTCTGGAAACTGATGGTATTTTTGGATGTCGATTGTGGAAAAATTGCAAGTTTGAGACTGCAAAGACACATTGAATCTGCTGTAGTTGTCATGCCAGGCCACTATTTGGCGCTGTGATCTTAGCATGATGTCAAACATGCATGCGCTTTAGCTTCCATCTCATAGGAGTAACCCATCTCAGATGAACCAAGTGCTCATGTAACACATATTTTTTATCAGTAGTGGTGTTAAACTGAACAGGTTAAGTAGCACAATGCGCTACATTTACAAGCAGCAGAGTGCTTGTTAATAAAAAGCAATCTAAATGGATATTATTTATTGATTTTTATATCAATCACTATGAATGGAAATATGTTATAACATCTGTTGTCAATCTGTTTCACAAAGAAAAGCTACTGATGGTTTGTCCCTTTTACTTCCTTTCCCATGTAAATAGTTGTCTTCTGTTTTGAAAAAAGGCCAATTTAGATGTGACAATGGTTTAAAGGTTCATAAAGGACTATTCGGATGAGCTGTTGTGAGTTTTTTTAGGATTAAAGTTGTTTACATGGTGAAGTCCACTTTGGTCTTGGCTGCTCTCTGATTATATGTTAGCTTTAGCTTTAGGGGTCAAAATAATCTGAATTTGTAATAAATGAAGACATAATAATTAAATACTGCTGGAATGACATTAAAAATCCTGAACTAAATTGATTTTGATTTTGTTTTTCCCTTTGTCTTGTCCCATTCATGTATTCTTAATCTTCTGATAAGTACTAAAGGATGCTGAGCTCAGCATCATCTCCACATTGGAGAAATTTAGGTTTTATAAACTCTGGCAAATATCGTGTTTGTATGTTTATCGATAGATTTTAGTGGTTCTCCTGCATCACAGCAAGGGTGATTTATTTTTTGTTTTCTACCAACAGAAAAAAAACAAAAAACAGTTTGTAGAAACACTCTTTGCGGTGCAGAGGAGCCACGGATAGATTAAGGTGTTTTTTTTGTTGGGAGAATAGGCACTTGTCACCTCTTGATCCTGATCATCAAGTGAAATAGGATACCAGTGATGAGGAAAATAGTTCCTGGATTGTCCTGAAATTGCCAAGATTGCAGTGGTAGTAGTAAAATTGCAGTCCACTGCTGTCTTTACTGGTGTTTCTGTCCTCAGTCTCAGAGCAAAGATAGAGTTTCTTTACTGCAGGTAAATCCCTTCAGAGTTGGTCTCTGAATTCTTAACAAGCTTATTCAAGAAATGTTTATTTCATGCACGGTCTCTTAGCGACAGACAGAGATGAGATGTGTTTAGAAGGAGCTGGCAGTAAAACCTGTAAAACCCTTTTCAACAATCACACATTTTTTTAATTTTATGTTCAAGATTTGTTTTTTTTCTGAGGATAAACTTCCAGGATCCTTCCAGATTTGTCTTCATATTTTCAAACATGAGCCTTGGTGTTGTCGACCTTAGAGCAAAAGTGGTTATAGTTGTTGTTGTTATAGATTCACACACTTATGTGCCCAGGGAATGTGGCTGACCAGCAGAAGAAATGGTTTTGCTATTTTTACTCTGCTGCTGCACACATTTATTTATTTTTCATCATCTTCCTTCGGAGTTCTTACTTATTTAGCACAGCTAAATGCTTCAAGGCTAATCTCTCTGAAATGTTATTGGTGACTTTTCTTTCTGGGTTCAGTTCTCACACTGAACCCAGTTCTCACACGTTTTTTGCATAATACAAACAAAATGTCAGAATTTGCATTGCCGTGTGCAAATAATCCAATGTGTGTGTAAAGTGATCATTCTCTAATTCCAATAAATTCAGTGGGCTTCTAAACTGAATGTGTCTTACTAATTTTCATTCCTTACAAATGATAAATATTTGTTGTAAACTAATAATTTTCTGTGTGGTTTTGGGCCAAATCAGACGGAGAGTCCTGAAGATATCAGATGGTATTGAGCACATGGGAGAGATGCGCTGGGAGCTGGCCATGTGTCTGGCTCTGGCCTGGTTCATCTGCTACTTCTGCATCTGGAAGGGACCCAAGTCAACTGGCAAGGTAGGATTAAGCATTGTATGTTTACTGTTGTGCCTTACTGTGAGAATTGGGAAGCTGGTTGGAAAGGACGTTCCTTCAGTGCATTGCAAACGTATTCATAGCACATGAATTTTGTAACGTTGAGACAAGATAAGATGTAATTTATTGATCACAGAATTGGGCAATTTTTGAGCAGCAGCATGACATGCAGTCAATTTACTCAACGTAAGAAAGGCGGAAATGCATAATAAAATATAAATTTCCATATGGTAAAATAATGTTATCCAAAAGATCTATATTTTTAACACACACATTTCTGCAGATGAAGCAATGATGATGGGCAGTATGAAGCCATAATTAGAACATGTGCAGAAAAGATTTCCTGTATTTGTCTGTTTGACAGCAGAGCTGTAAAAGTATTTTGGAGAAGGTTGCTCCACTGTCTGTCCAGTGTGGTGGAGGGGCAGGTCCAGTCTGACCAGGATGTTTCTTCGGAGTCCTTCCCTCCACCACAATCTCACTCATCTCCAGTCTGAGACCAATTGCAGATCACAGAGCATTATTTATTCTTATTTGTTCCCCCAGGGGAACAAATAAGAGCATTTTTGAATATTATAACAACATATTCTGAGTGGGGTTTTTGGTCCAGGCTTTGACTAGGTCATTCTACAGAAGGGATACTCATGTTTTAGCTCCAGCTGTAGGCTTGGATTATTGTCCTTCTGAAAAGTCACATGGCTTGTGACAATCTGCTAATGTGACTTCTAATGGCTCTCTTCTTTCCACTCTTCCATTGAGGCCAGATGTGCAACATGCTGAACTAATAGTTACCATAGTGACAGATTTCCCCACCTTGAATTGTGAGTCCATGGTAACTGTCCTTCTCAGAGTTACCATGGACCTCTTGACTGCTTCTATGATTGTTTGCTGTTTGCATTAAACAAAGTTCTGTTATCCACCCATTCATCCATCTATTTGTTCATTCATCCACCCATCCGTCCATCCAGGATGCCTATTTCTAGCAGCCATTGGGGGAGAGACCGGGTACAGAGTTGGACTTTATTTACTACTTAAGTGACTTCTGAATGCAGTTGTGGTAATTAATTTTATTTTGAGTATCAAAGTAAAGGGGGCTGAAACTATACTTTTGAATTAAAGTAAGTAGCTTTAATCATTTCCATTCCAGTTGGTTTGTTACATGAAATGTTTAAAAAAAGACAGTTAATATCGTAACTTCTAAAAATAAATTAATCATTCTTATTCTGATGGTGTTGGGATGATGCATAGAAAGGTTTTTCTCTTTTGTTCTTAAAACAAGTCTCCAACAGGAGGCCAGATGAGTTTTCTTCTGCAAACGCGAAACAAAAAGGCTTGTGCTGGACCTACTTCTTTCCCTCCCGTCGCAATTTCCATTTAAATTTCCTTGAGTCTCTTCTGGCAGTCTCGTTGACGGACAGTAAGGACTCTACACCCTCCTATGAGAGCTTAGCGGCCCTTAATACAAATTCACAGATTCACTGAGCCAGAATGAGGACGAAGATAGAGCCAGACGAAAAGAGGAGAGGTGTGTACAGAAAAATTAATGCGTTCACATGATACATGATGGGGGGTGAAAAAAGACAACTAAGTTGTGATGCCTATAACTTTTGTTGGCTGTGAAGTAAGAAGGGTGAATGCTTCTTCATGGCCGGGCTTCAGCAGCCGGTCCAAGATTGATTCCTGTATTTACTAGAGGAGAAGGGATCGTTCATGAGGAGCATGCAGAGTACATCCTCAGCCTCTCTCTATCTCCCTCTCGCGCAATGAGAAATTAACCACAGCTCGCTTGTTGCAGGAGAGGGAGAGAAAAAGAGAGAGAGAGAGTTGCTTTCTTTCCTACGGACCCTCCAGCTCATTCACTCAACACTCTGCTAAGCTGTTTGCTTTTGTTGGTCGCATTTGCCAGCCATTCTCACATTTAAGCCCTGCTGTTAGATTTACAGCGAGGTTTGACCAGGAAATTTGTGGTGGCTTAGATGTTTACCCGTGGTGAGCGGGAGAGAGCAAGCGGTGCTTCAAAAGTTCATGGAGAGACCGAATATTGTCCTTTTCATCGCCAGAAAGATAAAGACATCCAGGGGGAGAAGGTTTAGGAAGTGTAATCATTTTATGTGACAAATTAAAGGAAGGTAATGCTGCAAAGGGGGACACATTTTCCCACACCCTCCCTGCTGGCCTCTCTTGGATTAATCCTCATGTATGCTCACTGTTCAAACTGAGCTTTGATCAGGTTTATTTAAAAGGTTTAAATCATTTTTTCGAGTTAAGGATGTTCAGGATATTTAATGAAGTAGAATGCCTTGTCTTCTGTCTTTCTGAACAAGTGAGTAAATCACAGCCTCATGCTGGTAAAGTGGACTGAACTTCTGTGGAGTTGGTTAAGAGCTTTACTCAATGAATGAAGTCCATTTCCTCCTCCCAGAAGCGTAAAAAAAGGAGTAGTCATTCATGAAAATGCTGCACCCGGTACAGAACAGCGATGTGACCACAGTGTCCAGGAGCTGCTGTGCACATTAGTGCATGTTTGTAGTATGTTCACTCTTCTTCCTTTCCTTTTTTAAATGAATGAATATCCATTTGTGTGTGAGCACTCATGCACTTCTGCGCGAGCTTCAAAGAACTGCACATTTTCCCACACTGCCAGGATCACTCCTCTGGGCTCCTCCTGTTAAAGAGACGGGGGCCAGAGGAGCCCTCTTTTCTTTCAAGGATCCTGGCCCAGCTCTGCTCTGTCCTGTTCTGTCCTCAATTGGACTTTGACTCGGTGCCAGAAAGCCAGGGGATGTATGTTGCTCGCCTCTGCCTCCCAAGAGCCCACAGTCTTTGTTGGGGAGAGTCTTGAGATGTTGAGCACAGTTCTGCTAAACCTGAATGGTTTGATAAAAAACAGAGCCGGGTTTGGGGTGAGCAAGGACTTGCTACTGTATGAATGGTGTCACTAGATGCATGTGTCATTGTTTTTTGAAACCAGGCAGATAGAGAGTGGAGTGAGTGGTGGAGTTTAAAGAGTGATGATGAGAGCACTGTGTATCCAATCTAAGGTTCACTACTGGTTAACGCATATTATATTATATTATTGTGCATTTGCATTTGTTATGGTGTATCTAAAAAGTCATATTTTGTAATTTCAAAGATGATCTTGCAACACTGCAATAATCTCCAGAACATTATTCTGATGTTTTGCATGGTGCAGGCCAATTGTTTTGTTCGGCTTCAGTTTAATTTGAAGTGCGCATCAGTAAGGGTCGGGAGATATGGCCTAACATAATACATGGTATGGATTTTTTAAGATGCACTGTACAGTTCATGATGTTTAAAATATTTTCATTGACCAGTGATCAGACCATGCAGACCTGATCATTGATTCTTTATCTGGAGCTGATTAATCCAACTTCTATAACTGAAATCTCAGTCACATTTGATGGTAAATTAGTTGTAGATAACCATTGTTGCTATAGAGATCTCTACTCGGTTGCATTTGATTTGCCACAAAGAATAGGAGATATAGGACATATTGTCCAGCCCTACATGACAATATGTGCAAACCATGTTAAGTTTTGTTGAAAAACTATTACACTGGTCTGTAGTTATTGTTCCTCTCTGTAATCTGACATACCCAGTTAACAGATGTGCATGTGTGCTTCTGCAGGTTGTGTATGTAACAGCTACGTTTCCGTATGTCATGCTGCTGATCCTCCTGATCAGGGGAGTCACACTGCCTGGAGCTTTTGATGGCATCAAGTTCTACCTCTACCCGGACATTTCACGTCTCTCTGACCCTCAGGTAGGCGTCGATTCTCTCCACTCATCTGCTTTCTCAGAAAATAATCCCAGCGAAAGTTTGTACTAGAACATTTACACCAAGCTGATCCTACTGGAAAAAGATGAATTAAATGTGGTGCGGTGTGTTCCTATTTGATAATTTGCTTTTGTTTTATTTTTAAACTCACAAAAACTTACAAGAATATAACTAAACTACAGTAATTTTCAATAAGTTTGAATGTGTGTTCTGGTGAGGCTCTTTTATGAGATTGAAAGTAGATATCAACATTCTGTACATTAATCCCACAGTTATGTGTTAAAATGTTATTGTATTGGTCTGATGTTATATACTAATCTTATATATTATGTTTTATTTAGCTTAAAGCAGAAAATGATCAAAATTTAAAGAAATAAAGGCTTAAAGACATCAGTTTTAGAGTGAGCAATATTTCACTTCGTGAACTGAGTTACTGAAATGAATTAAATGTTCAGTAATATTGTAATTTATTGAATATGACTGTACATGTAGGGATTCTTTTTCATATTTAATATGTTGAACTATGTGTTAATGTCAGCTTTCATGCTACTATGGTCACTCAGATCTTTATGTTTAGAAGAGGCCAGTCGGTATTAGTTTCTGATCCTCATAGAAACCAGCATTCAAGGTTTTAGATCAATTGGCATCATTGTAAAAGCCTGGAAAAGCAAAATCTCTCAAACTTTGATAGTTTAAGTCAATTGTCTTGACTTTTAAATGTTAATAACCTTATCCCAAAGGTGATTAGTTAAACAATTTCAAAGCAGTAGCCACAATAATGTTTCCCAATATCTTTGGAAACATTTGTTGATATTTGTGCTACCAGTTTCTGTGAGAGTTGCAGTTTTATGGGATACATTGGTCTGAAATTTCATGGTGTTGATGACAAACAATGAATGATTCAGAGAGACACAGAATGATGCACGCAGTCTCAGTCTCATTGACCTGGTTTGACAAGGCAGATTGTTTTGTTTCCTTGGCAACAGAGTACTCAGGAACAGGATAGTGAGTCATGACAACGTCAAAAACATAATAGGCTATAGTGGGAAGACATCAGTACAGGGAGGTGAATAAGATTGTTGTAATTTTATTGAGTTTTACTTGAATACACCTTTTTGGAGTCTACATTCTGCCAGCTGCTCATCGATAATTTAACTTAAACTCCCATTTAACTAAGAATTGTAGTTCCCTGGAGCATTTTCACAACTGTCTGTTTGCAAACTGCATTAATTCTGGTTGATAATCTGAATCTTGACAACTGCAGATTAGAGAAGTAGATCATAGCATTCTCAGCTTACAACCCCTGTCTAATAATCATAACCAACTGCAGTACTTAAAGCTAGAAAACACACTCACCACAATAATTAGCAATTATATTAAACATATTTTTTAAATAAATTAACAGATCCCAAGCAGTTCTATGAATATTAAAGTGTTAATTAATGGTAGCTGCTCTAACATTTTCTGTTGTCTATCCTCTTAACATGCCAAACTTTCAAAAACCATTACCATAAGAATGGGAAATGTCCTTTTAGTTTTCACTGTACGGCTTCACAATCTGTAAAGTTATTTGTTAATTAATTTTGTCTTATTTGAAGTGTACGAAGATGTTTACACTAGGAAGTAGACCAAAAATATTCATATTTGGTCATATTGGGGGTTTTGCAGTGAAGAAAACCAAGAAATTACTTGTACTATGTAAATATTCACCTCGTTTACTTGATTTTTTTTATTGAACCAGATTTTGCAGCAGTTACAGCCTCAAATCTGTGGGAAGTATAAAGCCAAAAGCTTATACCTTTAGGTGGTCTGGCCCGTTCTTCTCTGCAGTTCTTCTCCGGATGGGAAACGACTGTCAGCCATTTTCTGATCTCTCTGAGAAAATTTTGGAACATTTTGAGAAAACAGACTAATTTAATAAAAATTGGATTAAGGCTGTAACGTAACAAAATATGAATAATTTCTATATGTTCTGTACAATTAACTTAATCTTTTAATACTAAAATACCCAAGAAAGTGCCATGTCAAAACATGCTTGGCAAGGTTTTCCCAGTTTCCTACAAACCAGGCATGTTGGAACAATCATGCAAATCCTGATCATTGTGGGGATATTCCATTAATCTTATTTATTCTGGGATAAAACTAACATCAGTTGTAATTAAATTAAACAATACATGTTAGGTAGGTCAATACTTAATTCAGCCAAAGTAAAACAAAAATATTGAACTTTAAGTAAAGTCTGTGGCATTAAAGCGGCTTCATAAAAATCCTCACCAAGCCTTCATATGTTGATTTGAGAGTGAGAACAAGTTGACAAATCACAGCCTGGCAGGAAACTTTAAGGCTCTAATTTAGCAATTTCATTTTTAGTTTTCGACTTGATTTCATCCAAGCACTTGTTTTCCACTCCACACTCTGGCAGACACATCATGTGGAGAGTTAAATTTATGTGATAACGAGGAAAAGTTTCTGCCTGATAATTACCAGAGTATGCAGTCTATGTGAAAATGTGCTTTCAGATAAACCCATCTGTTCCACCACAACTTCCTGCCAAGAAAAGGTGTTATGAACATTTTATTTCAAGGCGTAATTCTAGATTTGGATGTTATGCTGCACCATGTTGTTGTGTTTTATAAACACTGAACTATTGTTTGTGTTTATTTATGTTGTGCTAAAACCTAAAATACAACAGAAAGCAAAAGCAAAAATAAAACCCTTTAGATAATTTAACGTAGTAGAGATATAAATGTATTTAGATGAATTTGACTTAGCTACTCTTTCTTTTTTTTTTTTTTAAGGTGTCCAGATTTTGTACAATATGAGGGACGTATCTACATATAAAAAGTGATATAAATGAAAGGTGCTGGAGGAAAAAAGAGAGAATTCAAACAGCTATTAAGAGTGATGGGCAAGCGATAAAATGGACTCCTGTTGGGTGGAGGACATTAGTTTTGACCTTAAGTTATATTAGCTTCCTGTGGGACAATCAGTGCTCTGTTCTGTTTACAAGGCAACGTGAAATGTGTGTGTGGATGGGTGTTGCTTCCTCTAATCCAGAGGTCCCCCCTAGAGGGGCGCCGTGTCATTGCAGGGGGGGTCGCGGGAAGGCGTCTGGATAAATAAAAAAAAAAACATGAACACTGTATGCGCTGGGTTTTTACCTTAGAATTGCCAACTCTCTGTTATTCCTATGTCAATTTGATACAGTAGAGGCTTCCACACTTCCCATATTTGTGTCCTCTATCACTTTTATCAGCAGTTAAAACTGCTTAATCCGTTGTTAACATGTTGTAACCTGTTTTTCCGAGCCGCCTTTAAACGCAACATGAGCGCTACGCTGGGTTTCCACCTGTGAAGGAGACCTGCTGCTGCTGGGCGGAGCTACGTAGGTTTGTGTTAGAATCACGGCAGCAAACCAGCAAAACGCAAAGAACTTTTCACAGTTTTTCCCTCCAAACTAACCGACTGAGGTGAGTAAAGCTGCAGGTAATGTTAGCTAAAAGATGACTAGCTAATATCAATGCAGCACCTTAAGCTTAACAAGTACCTTGTAGGCTACCGATGTTGGTGTCTATTTTCAGCTACATACATTAATTTTGCCCCCAAAAAAGTCGATGCGCCCCCCGTCACCCGCGTCGTTTCAACCAGACAGCCATTTGTAATCCATAGGGGGGGCGCAGAAAATGTTTGGAAACCACTGGGGGGGCGCAGAAGAAAAAGTTTGGGAACCACTGCTCTAATCTATTCTATCCAATATGCCTTCCTTTCAGACCTTTAGCATCTTCTCTACACATTTCATACACTTTTTTTTTTTTTGTCTCACTCACTCCTGCAACGTTTTCCAAATCTGATGTGGCGGATACACAACACAATTCAACTTAAAAACAACCAAATTCATTAGAGAAAATAACTTCTTCACACAGAGCATGTATTCACAACCCCTTAACTTTTCCCACATTTTGTTTTGTTACACTCTTATTCCAAATTGTATTAAATTAATATTGTTCTTCAAAATTCTACTCAAAAAACCCCCTTATAAAGTCATGATATCTTGGATTCACACCAAAGAGTTCAGTCTTTATCTCATTAGACCAGAAAACTTTGTTTTTCATAGTTTGAGAGTCATTCAGGTGACTTTATTAAGTGTTTTTTATTAAGGAGTGGCTTTTGCCTGACTGCTCTACCAGACAGTTATGGGGTTAAAGTACCATCATGTTTTGGCATAATTATCTCTAGATGGAACAAAAGTGTTTGTCAGTGGTTGAAATCATGAACAGTTGAAATCAGAAAGCTAACCTGAAGGGTATTTTTCTCTGCACTGTCACTGTGAGTTTTCATTAAAAAGTAACAAAGGAAGGAAGATTAAAGTTTTCAAATTAAGTTGCCAGAATTTAGTTGTCATAATATTACAAGAGGGTGTTGGATAAGAAACGCCCTCGTAATCAAATAGATTTGGAGAACTTTAAGAGATCAAAGTAGGCAAATATTGCCAATCTGGTGTGGGATGCTGAGAGGCTTCTGCAAAAGATTTTATTCAATGCTGAAATGCAAAACAAAAGGAGCTTCTTCAAAGTATTAGGGTCACCAAAGGAGACAGTTAAAAAACAAAATTAGTACTACTGCCAGATCTTGCGAATGTGTATATTTTATCTCTTACATCAACATGAGAGTTAAGTACTTTTACAACCAGGTTATTGATTGTTTTGTCATCATAAAAATGCATAAGTGAAGCTGGCATTTTAGCAGTGGTTTGTAATATTTGATTACATTGTGTAAATATCATACAAGTTATGGTGTAACTGAATGAAATTAGCAATTTATACTATACTTTAAGTTGATTGTCAAAAAATTTGAATTATTAATCCATGACTTCCTTTTTTCTCTGTGGTATGAATGTGATGTGACAGAGATCTATTTATACCAGCTCGTCTTCAAACGCGGAAAAAACCCCAAAACAAAACATGCTATTTAAATATGGCAAACGTGCTATGCTTTATAAATCAGTAAATTGCTAAAAGGAAATAAATACTCGCCTTAACTCACCCATATCTACAGTTAGGGTAATACTTAGAAAGTTTAAAACTGGAGTTGTATTTATCTTGCATACTGGGTGATATGATGATAAAATCTCCTAAATTCCCTGTTAAAGAATACATTTTTTTAAGTTCTAGGTAATGCTGTTTAAGTAGAAACTCAATTTAGAAAGAATTTGATAAATCTTTACCAGTGATGCCAATATTGGAAAAGGGAACTGTGTCTGCAAAGAACAGCCTGATAGTGGAGGTTACTCAGCAGTCAGTAATACTGAGGGACTGATTGCTTAAAAGCAATGAATGCAGAAGAGCATGAAGTGTGAATTTGCTTAACAGAGGGGAGCAGGACTGACCGCCATTGGTCCAGATGTTTTGTTCTCAACCAGTTATACGAACAGAAAGCTGGATTATCTCAAAATGCATGACTGAGAATCTGAACCAACATTTTGTTTAACTTTAAAAGTGTTTTCTTAGATATACTTTAAGACCTCTCCAGTTCATTCATTGATCATCTTTCTTGTATTTCATTCTTTACTATGCACCATTGAACCATCAGGAATAGTTTCCTGGAGCCATAGTCTCAACATAACCAAACACAAGAATGCCAAATTAGGCACAACATCAACAAGTGATCCGCTCTGAGCCTGGGCCTTTAAGGTTTCCCTTCGCTGTGCAGCCATCAGCCGAGGGTGAACTAAAGGGAACATTAATGAACATTAGGAGAGAAAAGCCCGTTCTTCCACAGGAACAGTCCTGTGTTTGTGAGGTCACAGAAGTTACCCTGGTTACTCCCAGGAGGGAGCAAAGACCTTGCGTTTGTTAATTGTTTTTCTGTGGGGAAATGAGATTAGTCGCTGAATGGTGATGTGAGAGAGTTTTCAAAGAGTCATGCTGCATTAAGTTTGAATTTGCTAGCACCCCATGCTATCCTGTGGGTCCTGGGTCCCGCGCTGCTCCAAGAATGAGTTTCACCAACGCAAATGTTTAGGTTTACCAAACTGTTTTACATTTGTACATTTTTGTGTTTTTGATGGGCCAAATTTGATGTCCACACAAGCATTAAAAACAAAATGTAGTGCCAATGTAGAAAAAATTATGTGCATTATATTAAAGCTTTTAAGATGAGTTGCAATTAATATTTTTATGAATCTGATATTTGAACATCGTGTAAAAATTATGTGAATATATAGGTCTGTATGACTCAGTTTATATTAGTTTAAGATTTTAATTTCAAATAAAAAAAAAAAAAAGACAGTTTGCCAAACTCAAAATTAGTTGGTGCGTGAACCAGCCTTTGATTTTGACTTTTCATTCTCCAAAGATGATTTTTCATTTCCTGCTCACCTCAGATGGTCAGTTTACTTTTATTTTAGCCAAAATAAACTTATTTGTCAAAAAGTTATTTGTTTTACTTCCATCCATTTTCTTTACACCCTTGTCCCTCAGTGGGGTCGGGAGGGTTGCTGGTGCCTATCTCCAGCAATTGTTCCGGGTGAGAGGCGGGGTCACCCTGGACAGGTCACCAGTCTGTCGCAGAGCAACACAGAGACAAACAACCATGCATACACACCTAGGGGCAATTTGGAGAGGCCAATTTACCTGACAGTCATGTTTTTGGACTGTGGGAGGAAACCAGAGTACCTGGAGAAAACCCACGCATGCACAGGGAGAACATGCAAACTCCATGCAGAAAGACCAGGGCCGGGAATCAAACCCAGAACCTTCTTGCTGCAAGGCAACAGCTCTACCAACTGTGCCACTGTGCAGCCCTTATTTTTTTTACTTTTACAGTGGAATTGGGCAATAAACACATTTCAAAATAACATTTTAAAGTCTTAACAAAAACATCCTATTTCTCCATTATTCATTTAGCTTTACATAGTAAGATTTCATCCAGAGCTGAAACATATTTAATACAATATTAAACTTTCACTGTTGCTCTTCAACTTCAGGCTCCCCATAGAGAACAATGGAAGAGGGTAATAATGAAGTGACTCGTGTATTTTTAGCCACTGAAAGATTTTGACTTCCTTCAGAATCTTAATCCATGATTTATGCAACTGCTCCTTTGTGTCCATCAAAAAGAAAGAAAAAAATTAAGTATTTCATTATAGTCACTGCTGCAACAAAAAAGGAAGGGTAAAAAAGCTGTCAAATATTTCTAGAAACTATTTAATTAAAATCTTTTCCTAGGGAGTAATACAGTAAGGTCTTAATTTTGTGGTTCAATAATTTATAAATGGATCATAGAAAGAAACGTGGTCGTCCTTTATGTGCCGAGGGACTTAATATTGTCATTAAACTATGCAATAGACTAGTAAAATAACAGGCAATGAAAGCAGTGGTTTCTGAAAGTTTAAATCTGTTATGCTGTTTATATTCAGACAAGACGTGGCAGGTCTGAATTCAGCTCACACCTATTAAAACTGAATTAATCGCTTCATTGTTCAGCGCTCTGAGCTAAATATACTGTTCCAATATAACCTAATTCATATTCATTTTTTAGTAAATAAAAGTTCTCTAAAATAAGTTGTTAACCACTGTGAATCATAATAAACGTTGCTTGAGGATATTGTTTATCATTTCATGTTATTTGCATCCTGGTCTTTGACTGCTTATTTACATGTGCTTGCTTCTTTCCTGTTCTCCATTATGTTGTTGCTAAATTCACATCAAAGCTCTTCTATAACAAAATCTTGACCTGTGGTATCTGTAGCAAACTGAAATCACATTATATGATATCAATGACACTTTCATATATAAAGCTGAGAGAAAAGTTTGCTGTGTCATAAATGTAATGTTCTTTCTTTTGACTGCTGCAGTTGAATGGTTACATTTTGACTCATTGCAGGCCTGGAGGATGCAGAATCTAGAATGTAAAGTAGAATATCATATGAAGTTTTCATTCTGACGGTTAAAACTTGGACGGTTAAAATAAGTAGGTTAAGAACTACAGGAAGATATGTTTGTTATAGAACCAAAAAGATGTGAAAAAAATGTGTGTCAACCCTCTTAGCCTCTTCCCTTCATTCTCTCCTAGCAGAATATATAATCTGTGCTTGCAGATTATGTATTGGTCTTGAATTTATCCTCACTGTCTTTCAGTTTGAACCTGTCATTTGAGTAGATTAATGTGCAATATTTAAAGGTTGAGGTTTGATTCCATAATTAATTTTCAGACTCAACAATAAATTATTTGATTCTTTCTTGTGTACCTAGGCTATTTACGTATATATTATTTTCCTTTAGTTATGTCTAGCATTTTTGCAGAAAAGCAGGTGGATTTATGTCAGTCTATATTAGGCATCAGGTGTTAAGAGGACTATATTTTTACCCAAGTGAAACATTTCTCAATGTGTTCATTTTACATTTATGCTGTTTCTTTACCTTTGATATTACTAACAGGTGTGGGTGGACGCAGGAACCCAAATTTTCTTCTCCTATGCCATCTGCCTGGGCTGTCTCACTGCTCTTGGAAGTTACAATTCCTACAACAACAACTGCTACAGGTATGTATGCAAACATAGAGTAAAAGGCACTGAGTGGAAAAACAAAAAGTGTACTTCTTTTGCTAATCGTTTTATCACCTCTTCTGTCTGTCTTCGCTCTACTCCTCAGGGATTGCATCATGCTGTGTTGTCTGAACAGCGGTACCAGCTTCGTGGCAGGTTTCGCCATCTTCTCTGTCTTGGGTTTCATGGCCTATGAACAAAATGTTCCCATCGAGGCTGTGGCTGAATCTGGTGAGAGAGCATAAAGTAAAATGATACTTCAAAAATAACAACAGGATAACGAACTTTCAGAAAAAATGATGTGAATCTGTAGATATGGTAAACCTCAAAGTGAGTCTTGATGCTCATATATGATATTGTGCTAAACTAGATTATCCCTCCATGGTTATATAACTCATTACTCCTCACTTAAGTGTTTAAAATGCTGCATCATGGTTTATTCAACTCATCATGAATAATTTTGAGAACGTGACGGAGCAGAGAAGAATTGAGACGTTTATCTTAAAATACATCTAGGATGAACTTAATGCTTCAGATAAGACTTTATTTACAGAACTGTTCGAAAATAATTCCCAAACAACATAATGTTGATCCTCCTATTTCTGTCGCTCAACCAATGAATTAGGCTTTTAGAGGAGACACATTATGCACTTCTGACTTAGGGTGCATTTACACCAGGCCTGTTTGTCCACTTTAATCAAACTCTTGTCCATTTGCCTAGAAAATCTGGTTCATTTGGGGAGTGGTGGATGTGTAAGTGAGCTCTGATGTGAGCCAAAAAAAGCATATTCTGGTCTGTCTCAATTTGGTTGAAATGAACGCTGGCGGGATTTGAATGCATATGTGAACACCAAGCAGACACCAAAAACAGCAAACAGACTACTGCGCAGTGCATGCTGGGTAAATACAACCAAAGCAAATGTGGGAATCTAGGGCTAGCTGGAGAAATGACAAATCCTTTTGTCTTTAGCAAAAGGATTTCTCTTTTGCTAAAGACAAAAGAGAAATCCTACAACCGCTAAAATCTGACGCCAATCGATTTTTGTTTGCATTTTGGGAAAAAAGAAGTTGCCATCATATCTTCTGATGCTTTTGTGTCACTAACTTATGTGGTTCTTGGTGCAGTGCCACAACAGGAGAGAGGGGGAACAAGTTGCTCAAAGGGTTTGGTTCGTTTCACAGCGCAGTGTGAAAGCGAACTGCGCCAGCCGAAAATGTAACTAATGTTGAAACTTTGGTCACTAAAGGAACTGTGTCTACCGGACTTCCAGATGTGAAGACAACCTTAATTTCCTGAGGTCATACAAGGAATCAGTTGTGGTTTCTGATATGGGCAAAAGCCCAGGGCAGCAACTTGTGGGGGGTGGCATGAGCGCCCCACCCCCCCATCCCCCCACTCCTGGGTCCTCCAATTGCTGTCACCCTCTCACTCTCAATCAGAGGATTTGAATGTCAACAGTGCCTAATGCAAAATCCCACTAATAAAGATTCAACTTCCCAGAGGTTTCAGCTGATTGCTTGTTTTTTGATTAATTTATTAAATAATTCTCTGAGGGACACTCAGTGAGCATTGACAGTCAATTGATACTCAAATTTAAAATAAAAAATAGATGCAGAATAGATAAATGAATGTAGTAAAGTCATGGTAAAAGTAACGGTCCTGACATGGTCAAACATTGAACATTTGTTTAGTAATTAGAGAAAACATGAATGACATCCCAGATGTCAACCCAGAACCTTCTTGCAGCAAGAAGGTTCTGGGTTCGATTCCCAGCCCCGGTCTTTCTGCATGGATTTTGCATGTTCTCCCTGTGCATGCGTGAGTTTTCTCCGGGTACTCCAGCTTCCTCTCACAGTCCAAAAACAAGATTGTCAGGTTAATTGGTCTGTCTAAATTGTCCCTCGGTCTGTCTCTGTGTTGCCCTGTGACAGACTGGCAACCTGTCCAGGGTGACCCCGCCTCTCGCCCGGAACGTTAGCTGGAGATAGGCACCAGCAACCGACCCCACAAAGGGACAAGGGTGTAAAGAAAATAGATGGATGAACGACATCCAACTCCAATGTCTCAATCAAAAGTGCGAAAAGGCTGTCAAACCTACAAACAAAATCAGATACAATAGAATGAAAACGTAAGCAAAACTTTCACTGTCCTGAAACCAAGTAACAGTGAATCATCTTTTTGTTTTTGTTTCAGGTCCTGGTCTTGCTTTCATTGCATACCCCAAAGCTGTGACTATGATGCCTCTGTCTCCACTTTGGGCTTGTCTCTTCTTCATGATGCTGATCTTCCTTGGCTTGGATAGTCAGGTGAGAATAAATCTTGTGATTGGAGGATTGTACAAACCAAATTAAACCTCACTTTGAATAAGACAATGTATAATAATCATAGAGATCACTATATATAGTTTAAAACTTGAACTCTGAGGAAAAACAATGCTTTCAGGCTAATTTTGACATCATGTATCTTTTTTTTATTTTTTTTAATTTTTTTTTTAGTATAATTAGGTTTTTAGGGAGAAGCATCAATAACTGGTGGCTCCATCCGACCGGAGAAAAGTTGAAAGCAAATTGTTTCTCCTTTTTCATTTAAATTTAATTAGTTTATGTTAGCTTTAAATGCAAATTATTTTTAATGAAAGAACTTGAAATAACTAGAGTTAAAGGAGATTTGAAAATGTTTACGCATAACTAATTTTAGATAGATTTATTGAAAGAAAATGACCCAGGCCAGCATAAACTGCCACAATGTTCAGCCCTTCAGCTTTATAATTGTTTATTTCTTTGAGTCTTCCCACCTTGTTATGCTTTACAAGTAAAAGTTGTATCACTTAATGTTTCAACAATTACTTTAAATAAGTCACACTTTAATTTGCTGTGTTTATTATGTATGTTATCTGTACATTATGTCATGTTTTTTATGGTATTACTTAGTAATACCCTTACATCATCATATACTTAACACAATATATGTTGTGCCACAAAATAAACTGAGTTGAATCAACTGTGTCTGTGAATGTATTTGTTGATTTGTTTGTTTTTCAGTTTGTGTGTGTGGAGAGTTTAGTGACAGCCGTTGTGGACATGTACCCAGAGACCTTCAGAAAGGGTTACCGCAGAGAGCTGCTGATTCTCTGCATGTCCATAGTCTCTTTCCTCATAGGACTCATCATGTGCATGGAGGTAAGAATCCCTCTATATGTTTCGCCCAGCTGATGTTCGTGTGAAAAGCTGACACCCATCTCCTTCCGTTAGGGAGGAATGTACGTCTTCCAGCTGTTTGATGCATATGCAGCCAGCGGGATGTGTTTGCTGTTTGTGGCCATATTCGAGTCCATATGCATCGGCTGGGTGTATGGTAAGATGAGATTTTAAAGCTGAAATACAACTAGTTTTTTTTTTTGTATTACCACTGACTCATGTTGCCGAGTTTGGGTTTTTGATGGTTGTTACAGACTTGAGCAAAGCAAGTTTCACTCTCCTTACTGGAAGAATGTTGTTTTTCTGCCCTCTGCTGGAGAATGCACAGAAATACATGCAGCATACATTTATTGTGATAAAATTATAAATCAGGTTATTAGGATGTAAGAAAAATAAAAAAATATATATATATTGACTTGCTGCTAAAGCTTGTCTTATATAAAGTTATCTAATACTGTATGGACATTATGTAATGACTAAAAGGAAAATATGCATGTAGAAATTCTTTGGTATATGAACATTATTGTTGTTATGAATTGTATAATTCATGACATAAAATTCAGCTAAATAAGTCTGCTGTTACACAGAACATCACAAAACGCCTCTGGCTCTCTTGATGTTAACTTTCAAAAAACATTTTGCTCACATCAAGTCAGAAACGTAGCCTTACACAACGTTGGGCTGTCAAGAGGCATCAGTCATGTCGTTATTTTGATGATGCATGCAGAATCTCCTGAGTGAGACTTGTTTTCTTGCAGGAGGCGACAGATTCTACCTAAATATTGAGGACATGATTGGATACAAACCTTTCGTCTTGATCAAATGGTGCTGGATGATCCTGACCCCGGGCATCTGTGCTGTGAGTAAGAGCATGAATAAGAGCAGACGACGCAGAGATGAGCACACAAGTGGCAAATGACTTAGATTTGTTTTTTCATAGCTTGGTTCGCATGGAGCGTTAGTTTCAAAAGGCGTACAGTTATTTTAAAAATAAAAATGATAATCAAATAAAAAAAAAATACATCAGTAGCTTCCAAAAGAATGCTTAAAAATATGTTAACTGTTTGCAAGTTGTCTATTGTTATCAATAGTCTGATGTTTTTACTAATCCCTTAATTAGTGAATTTATTAAATAAATATATGTAACATTTTTAAATCTACTGTTATGTCTAACTTGTTTTATCCAGTAACTTCTGTGCCCCCTTTTTTCTTCCCGTCTCCTACTAATCTATACCCAAATCCACCAGTGATTAACCAAGAACTACGTGTGCCATTTCATTAAAAGTATTTAAACCCAGAAAGTAGTTCCTTGTTATTTAAAACCGTGTTTTCACTATGATTTGCAAACAATGTGTTTCTTGTTGATGCAGGGAATTTTCCTGTTCTTCCTGATTAAATACAAGCCTTTGAAGTACAACAACGTGTACATCTATCCTGACTGGGGCTACGGTATCGGCTGGTTCATGGCTATGTCCTCCATGGTGTGTATCCCACTGGGCATTATCTGGATGATCTGGAAAACTCCTGGGACCTTTTCTGAGGTAAAGAAATCTTAGCAAGAAAGGACAATCACTGTTCTCCTTTATTATTATTACATTTGTCACGTTGACCCTATTTATTGGCACCACTGACGGAGATGTGTAAAACCCCTAAAATGAAATAATATTTTATTGCAGTAACTGTTTGTAATAAAATCACTTATAGCACTGCTGTAGTTAAACATGGAGTTGATACTTCATAAAACCTTTTTTTCGGCCAATGGACTTTGCTATTTTCTATAACATACCACGAGGCTGGAGATAAGGGATCTGTGATAGTTTATTTTTTAACAATCTTTTTAGAGTTGTCCATAGTTATATGTCCTCTGTAATACAATCTTCAGCTCTTTCTACAAGTTTTTTTTTCCATAGGAGATTAGTCAGAGGACTAAAATTGATTTTTTTCATCTGGTGAAACATTTCTGTGTTGATTTGACAATGTGTGTCTTTTATGTCATTATTTTGCTGAATAAAAAAACCTACATTCAATTTTCTGGCAGAGGTCGACAACCTCACAGTCCCTCCACTATACTGTAAAAGTAGGCATGAAGTGTTTTTTCCATATATTTTGTGTTAAACAAAATAAAGTGAAATTCAGGAAAAGTTCACCTAGTAATATTTTGATATTAGAACATCAAAATAATCTTCCAGAACGTTTTCGGCAGATTATTCTGAACAGCTGGTTGGCATATAGATGGGGTCTAATGACTCTTTGGAGACTTGATGATGCTGTACTCTGTGAGCTTTGGTGACTTTTTTTTTAGCTATCTACTAACATCCTGCTCATAGAGCATGGGCAAAACATACTTGGATTCTCTTCTAGTTTAATAGTCAGGGGCTCACAGTGGATTTTTGTTTCATGTCATATTTACACTATACGAGATGTCCCTGGAAGATCTGTTCAACTTAAAAAAAAAAAAGCAAATAAGTAAAATTCTTCCATCTTGAACAAATGTACTCTAAAAGGGGTTGGATTTTTCTTATTTTTTTATGAGGAAAATCTTGCTATTACAATAAAAGATGAATTTATTAAGGCAAATTGGTAGATATTTGCCTTATCTAGATGGCTTCCAATACATTTACTATATCATGGAAATTTCAAACTTTTTCACAAGATGCTTTTCTTAATAAATATATAAATTTGTGTCAGAATAACAGCTATACCTGTTGTTCTACCAAAGTTAAATAGGTACTGTGATATATTATAATCAATGCATTTTAAGGGTGTATTCACATTAGTCCATGTTAATCAAACTTTAGTGTGCTTGACTAGAGAGTCTGGTTTGCTTGGGGAAGTGAATGTTTAAATCAACTCATGTGGACCAAAAAGCAAACTCTGGTCCACCTAAAAACCTAGGTCGCAGTTTGGTTGCATATGCAAGTCAATGCTAAGCAGACCAATGGCTTGTGGTCTTTTACCAAAGACAGAAGAGAAGTCCCACATCCTCTAAAATCTGACACGGCTCCATTTGTGTTTACATTTTGTGAAGAAAGAAGTTGTGTTCCTGTCTTCTTCTGAGGTTTTTGTGTCATTTCCTTCAGTGGTTCTTGGTGCAGCGCCACCACAGTTGAAGGGGCAGAACAAGTTTTTCAATTACTCTGGATTGTTTGACACATTCCAGTGTGACAGCAAACCAGACCAGCTGAAAATGTTACTAAATAAATGTTGCAATATTGGTCCACAATCAAACCAAGTCTACTGAGAGTGATCTTTGATTAGCTCAGCAGACTTCCACACTTCTGCAGCATCTGTGAGCCAGACATGGGCATTCTCTGAGTAAAGTTCAAAAGCTGCCATGTCGTGTGAAAACCCTAAAAAAATACCCTGAAAGCCCAGAGGAACCTCTGTATATTTGTAACTTCAACCGGAGCAACACTTCATGCCGTGATCATCGTGGCGTATAAAGTTAACACATCTTTCTTTCTGAATCTTTGCAGAGAATGAAGAAGCTGACCACTCCCAGCCCTGACCTAAAAATGAGAGGCAAACTCGCTGCCCTCAGTCCTTACGCTGTCAATGATGCCAAACTTAAAACAGATGGCAAAATATCCACCATCTCAGAGAAGGAGACGCATTTCTAATTGACCCAAGCTGCCAGCTGTCTTAAAGGACCAGTCAAACAAAAATGAAAACCGTCGCAGCATTACAGGCCACCACACAAGACAAAAAAATGGAAACAAACGACTCAGAGTGCTGTTTTTGTTTTGTAAAGAAACGAGTCTAAGAAATGTTGATGCTCATATGTAGTCTGCTTCTGTTTTGCACTGCTTTTAAATAACACAATTATTGTCTTAACTTTCAAGCTTAAGCAGCTGTTTCCTCATTTTTAGCCATTAACGTTTAAAGACGTGTTGATTTTGTGTGCTAAATGGTGAAATCCTGTCCTGGTAACTGTCAGTAATGGTCTCACTTATGTCTGTGCCTTTAGGACGATAGCAGCGTGTTCTATAAGGCTTGCTCTCTACAATCACTTGCAAATTGCTGAGATCCTATTAGGTAAAAGGTACCCAAATGAGACTGAGATGTAGCAGCTGGAGGGGCCGTTCTGAATGCATATTCATGCTCAAGCTACATGAGGGGGGGCTCCATACCCCTGCAAGTAATAATTTACCATTGAAATATAAGATCTAAGACTGTGAGGACGTTTTTTTTTTTTTAAACTTTAGGTGTTGTAGACCAGCATGAAAACAAAGAAGAAACTAAACTTCTACATAAATGTCCACCATTTGGAGTGTTGCGGTATTACAGAAAGACAAAACAATTTCCTTGGTTTAAAAATCTTTTATTTTGAGGTTTACACTACATTTGTTCACATGGCTACAAATAGATGTTTGTGACTCGCCGGCTGAGTCAAAAACACGCCTCTTTCTCCTCTAGCCGCCCTCCTTAAAGTCATAGATATCTGTCATTTCACAGTAATTATGCTGAGACTAACAGAGACTGACAGATAGATGTGCCTTCAACCCTGCATTTTTATTTCCTGCTCCGCCTGTAGAGAAGAAGATGGACACGCATCAGATGAGCATTTCAGACCTCATCTGTCCCCTTTATTTTCAGTCTCATCTTTTTTGCTCTTTTTTTTTTCCACTGTTCCCCCTTTTCAGCCTCTGCCTCTTCCTTTCTGCCTCTTTCAGTGTTTTCTTCTTTCATCTACTCTGCTTATTTTTCGCTCCCTTTCATCACACGGCTGGCTTGAAAAATTACACCAGTCTTGTATGAATGAAATATAATACTTTGCATTTTATTACACATTTATGCCTCGGCAATATTAATTCTATTGATTCTGTTGCAATTCTCTGACCTTTCGTTTGAAACTGAGAACCTCATGGTTTAATTTTTAATTTTTATTTTTTCTGTCTGAGCCACAGTGAAGGTGAAAGCAATGATCTAGTCATCTGTGGTGGGAGACAGTGAGCTGGTCTCATTGTCTAAATCAGTCAAATATCCTACACGCACTTAAATTTCTTTCACTTTTTGTCTTTCTTGTGTTTTCTGATGAAAATGCTACCAGAGGAGAGCATCTGAGGAAATTAAAGCAAATTCTCATAATGTTTAGGGGGAGGCAAAAAAAAAAAAAAAAGTAGGTGAAGAATTCAGGAGTTTGCGAGAGGAGGAAGTTTGTGATCGAGAAGAAGCTAAAAGAAGCAGAGGAAGTGTTAAATGTTTGAAGCGCCTCCTCTTAGCAGTCACATTCTCTCTAGCAACTAATCAGCCCGTTAGTTGCTGGTGCATTTTAACTTTATCACTTCTTCACTCATGTTTCTGCAAGGTAGTAGTTGTGTGCATCCAAAATCCTAGCGTGCTGCTTAACACTGATCACACTGCTGTAATCAATGGTTTACTTCCTGTCTGTTGGAAAGTGTTTAAATGAATTGCTGTAATAAAAAGACAACATTTCAACTTTTGATAAGCTCAAAAGAATCTGTAATAGACATATATTAAAAAAGTGTTAAATACTGTTCAGCACTGCTCTACACACCTTTTGGTATTCACTGGACACACGAACTGTCTGCTTACTCATTTTTAAAAATAAATATGAAAAAAATTGACTCATGATTGCAGCTTTTTATTTGTCTTCCGTTCTTCTGACTCATTTTTTTCAGTGTTATCCAAAATCTGTTTTAGATAATTCTAAGGCAAAAAAAAAAAATCTAACAAACAAACAAAAAAAACTTTAATAAAATATGAGTTTTTGTTTGTTTCTGTGAGCCCATGATGACTACTGTTCAGTATTCTGAAATATTTTACTTAAAATGTTCTCTGGTATTTCAAGGAGTTTAAATTGCCCTGTAGTCTGGCAAGGCTCCTCTGGCTTTTGGAAAAAAGCCCACAGCATCATGGATCATCTGCCTTACTGAACAGTGCACAAGAAATATTTTAAATTGTCATTATTTACATGATTATTGTCTGTTGCCAAAATGTTCCAGCAGCAGTTAGCATGTTAACATTTGTGTTGGTAGGACATGAGCCACATTTTGGCATGCACGCTTAAGTCCATAACTATTCATACCACTGGGAGATTTTGATTTAAATGTATTTTTATTCAACCAAGATGTTTATTTTTAAAAAATAAATATAAAAGGATTATCAATTTTAGAAAAAAAAATATTTATATTTTATTGAGAAAAATGGCACATCAAAATTATTTATACCCTTCCCACTGATGCTAGAGGCACTCTTCTTATAATTGCTGACCAGCTATTTACATGTTTCCACTGGTATTTTGGGAATTTATCTTTGGGAACAAAGTTTGAAGTTAGAAGTCTTCCTGACTAGCGTTCTAATCTTTTGTTCTTTCTGAACTTTATAACAAGTAGTTTCAGGTAAGTCTCTGTTGGTTATGTTATACTTGCATACATGTGTTATTAATTTATTATTAAGCAACAAGAAATGCTGCAGTCTCAGCTACCTTTTAAAATTGTCTGGATTTTGATTATGTTCTAAAATCAAAGTTTGCAAATGTTTACCAGGAGTACCTAGAGCATAGGATGAATATTTCCCTAAAATTGTCAAAATGACTTTGTTTCATAACTTTTTGTATGTTAAAATGTCAGCCATTCACCCTCATGAGTTTTGCTTACAGTTCAACTAAAATATGGAAGGGACAGAACTGATTGTACTTCTTCTGGAAGATTTGGTCCTTCAGTGTTTGCAGTAAGATGCTGCATATCTTCTATAAGTTTGTAACGGAAAGTGAAATCTCTTCAAGGACTTGGTTGGTTGTGGTTTTGTTCTGAGAACGAATGTGGGAAATCTGCAGATTAAAATGCAAAGAAGGATTCTTCATAAAATCTAAGAAATTACACATAAGCCTGAGCATCTTCTTCATGAGGTTGCTTGACAACAACAGATTGGTTTCAGTCAGAGGCTTCTTCAGAACCGCAGTAATACAGACTGCTACAGGAGATTCTTTCTGCCCACCAACGTTGGCATCTACAATAACTCTTTGAATAACCTTGAGTAATATGTGTCACAACAACATTTAATTTCCCTTTAGGATTAAGAATGTACTTTTGATTGTATTGACAGATTACTGTTTTCTCTCAATTACTTTTTTTCAACAAATCCTGACCTGTTCATAAAATCTGATGCTACTGCTTTTACAAAGCTAATGTTTCTAAAAAGATGACCTTGTTGATGAAAGAGGAGTTTACAAAAAAATAATGTTCACATCAACACTTCTACTGACTATTTCTATTGTTCAGACTTTTGGTTTTCCTGTCTCTCAAAATCCGACAATGACTGAGGAGTCAATTCAGTTTGTTTGAGGGAATTTTTCATTGTTAGAAACAAGATTTTATGGAATCCAAACCAGCAAAGTTTGGAATCAGTATATGGTCATGAATTTGTCATTGTTCTTCTGGACCCATAAGACGTATGTAGTGTTTAAGTGAGGCAGTGCCTGCAGTTATGCCTGCACTCATCAGAAAAAGGCATTAGTTTAGTTTATGTGGAGTTGCCATCTGAAGCTGATTCAACACACAATATGTTGGACATATTTTGTCGTTGTGCCACGTTGTGGTTTTACAACTTTTAAGAACACATTGTGACCTTTCTGGGTGTAACGTCAAAGGAAACTGCATTTAAATAAAAATTATTTTGAATGTCTCCATATTGCTTTTTAAACTGCAAATCTGTTTCTCTCAAGTGCTGAAAAGACGGGGTCCAATAAGGGGCTCAAACGGATCCCCTCCCCAAAAGATAAGCAGACTGAGAAACGTGATGAAAAGTGTTGCAAGAAAAATCAGTAGCCTTGATTTTCCTCCCTGTTAGTGTAGTGATTAGGAATGTGACACTGTTCAAAGCTGAGCAAAAATTGTGAAGGGAAGAAGGGATTTAGAAAATAATTACAGTGTTGATCAGCTGTCATTGGCAGAGGAGCTGAAATTGTTATTCTAAGAGAACTTTGTGCCTAGTAAAAAACTGAACTGCCTTGGAAAAGCATTTATATCTTGGATTGTTTCCAACTACAAACAAAAACTTAAATATATCTTTAATTAGGATTTTATGTCATACATTAGAAAGCAGTGTACAATTGTGAAGTGGTACAAAAGCGATGCATTGTTTTGATTGTTTTTCTCAACAAACAAAAATCTGAAAAAGAATGATGTCCACTTGTATTTATCTTTTCTTTCTTTTAATGTTACACCCCTCAATAAAATCCACTTCAGCCAGATAATTTCAAAACCAATTAGTAAGCAGAGACCACCTCTGTGTAACTTAATCTCAGTGTAAATTTAACTGTTTGGTTAGAAAACATTGATGAGCAAAACACTTAAATAAAACAAAGAACACGTCAGGCAGGTTAGGGTATAAAACTGTGGAGATCTTTAAAGCATGATTTATCTATACCCCAGACTTTGAACATCCCCTAAACCACAGTTGAACCCATTATCCAAAAAAAGAAAGATTGTACCACAAATGAAAATCTATCAAGAATAATTCACCCACCTACACTGGCAAACACAGAAGCGGCCAAAAAGCCTGTGGTAATTTTGGACTGGACAACCATTTGCTCTCTGCACATATGGTCTTCATGGAAAAGCAGCAAGAAAAAAGCCATTGTTTTTAGAAAACCACCAGAAGTCCTAATTCAGTCTCCCACAAGCCATGTAGGGGACAGATGAGGCCAAAACGGAACTTTCTGCCAAGCAAAAGAAACAATGTGGGGAAATATAAGGCGGAAATTACTGCTGAAAAAAAAAAGAGAAAAACCTCACAATTGATTCCCCCCCCCCCTTTTTTTCCCCAAAAAACATAACAGAAAACTCTGGGGACAACACTCTGCTTACCGGTGAGACAAGAGCGGGAAGGTGTACATCCTCTCACATGTAGCATAAAGCTAGCGTGCCATTTCAGAAACAAAACATCCCATCTATGTACCAACTGGTTGACTTGGCTTGATTGATGGAACCATGCTCTGTAAATCCAGAAGGATAAGGTCTATCAGTTTGTGACCTTTAGCTGTTACTTACTTACAAAGCATGCCAGAAAGTCCAACTCAGAAAAGCAATCACTTTGGACCACGGCACTCACTTAAAAACTCCAACCGGCATCTTGACACAAGGCTTTTTGTGCAGTTGCTAATAAGCGAAAAAGACACTTATTTAGGACACAGAACGCCTTCTCGTTCTGATGAGTATGAGGCCCT